AGGGCACATAACCACTGAGCCACATCTCCAGCCCTTTTTTATATTTTATTCTGAGACCAGGTATCTCTGAGTTGCTTAGGGCCTTGCTAAGTCGCTGAGGCTGCCTTAGCCTCCTGAACTGCTGGGATTACGTGTGTGCACCACCACGCCTGGTGTCATAGCTTCTGAACACAGCTGCATGTGGTGCTTTTCACTGAGTTGCAGAGTGAACTGTCTCAATCTCTTTCCCCCATTGCTTGCTGGGGTTGATGGTCATTCCCTTCAGTGACCATCTACCCTAAAGCTTGTTGAAGGAAAAGTATGCTTTTCCAGAAATATATTTTTTGAGGGAAGATGTAGGACTAGTTATATGCAAACAAGTTCTGATGAACTTTGTACAAAAATAAGAATATTCATAAATGCTTTAATTTTTATTGTGTTAAAATATACACAACATAAAAGTTACAATTTTGCCCATTTTTTAATTTGAAAAGTAAATATATTTGCAACAATATAGACTAAACTTTTATTAGGTGACATTTCACAATACTTTCTCTATTTAATGATTATAATGTCTTCTACTTTGTCTAACTTACTGTAGGTTCCACAGAGAATTTTTTCTGGTCTGGTCCTTTCTTATTCTCAGGATTTTCACTATGATAGCTGTGTTTCCTGGCTTAATCTCAAGTTATACCTATTCTCCTGGCATCTAGAGCAGATTAGTGCCTTTCTTGAAATTATTATTATAATTGTTTCTTACAGTATTATTTGAATAGAATTATTTTATATGTTTATTTCTTAAAATTTATTTTTATTAGATATATATGACAGCAGAATGCATTTGATTCATTGTACATTCATTTCTGACTGTACATGATGTAGCTGATTGTACACGATGTATCGATGTATTGTGCACTCATACATGTACCTAGGATAATGATGTCCATTGCATTCCACCATCTTTCCTGCCCCCATACCCCTCCCCTTCTCTCCCTGCCCTTTACCCAGTCAAAGTTCCTCCATTTTTCCCATGCCCCATCCCCCACATTATGGATTACCATTCACTTACCAGAGAGAATATTTGGCCTTTGTTTTTTGGGGGATTAGCTTACTTCGAATAGCATGATGTTCTCCAACTCTATCCAGTTACCTGCAAATGCCATAATTCTATTCTCTTTTAATGCTGAGTAATATTCCATTGTGTATATATACCACAGTTTCTTTATCCAGTCATCTATTGAAGGGCATCTAGGTTGATTTAGCTATTGTGAACTGAGCTGCTATAAACATTGATGTGGCCTTGTCACTGTAGTATGCTGATTTTAAGTCGATTGGATAGAGACCAAGGAGTTGGAATAGCTGGGTCAAATGGTGGTTCCATCCCAAGTTTTCTAAGGAATCTCCATACTGCTTTCCATATTAGTTGCACAAATTTGCAGTCCCACTAGCAATGTATAAATGTACCTTTTCCCTAACATCCTCCCCAACTCTTGTTGTATTCTTGATAATTGCCATTCTGACTGGCATGAAATGAAATCTTTTGATTTGTATTTCTCTAATTACTGGAGATGTTGAACATTTTGTCATATTTATTGATTGATTGTACATCTTCTGATAAGTATCTGTTTAACTCCTTATCCTATTTATTGATTGGGTTGTTTGTTTTTTTGGTGTTAAGTTTTTTGAGTTCTTTATATAGTGTTCTATCTACCATGCATGTGGCAAAAATTTGCTTCCAAAATGTAGGCTCTCTCTTCACCTCATTGTTTCTTTTGCTGAGAAGAAACTTTTTAGTTTGAATCCATTCCATTTACTAATTCTTGATTTTATTTCTTGTGCTTTAGGAGACTTGTTAAGGAAGTCGGAGCCTAATCCGATGCGATGAAAATTTGGGCCCACTTTTTTTTGCCCATTTTTTAAAAAATATTTTTTGTAGTTGTAGATATACAGCATGCCTTTATTTCATTTGTTTATTTTTATGTGGTGCTAAGGATTGAATCCAGTGTCTCACATTGCCAGGCAAGCACTCTGCCACTGGCTACAGACCTAGACCCTGATTTTCCCATTTTTAAGTATATAGTTTTGTAGCATTAAGTACATTAACATAGTTTTTCAACCACTACAATCATCTTTTTCTAAAATTTTTTCATCTTCTCCAGCTAAAACTCTGTTACCTTATGGTCTTTTGGTAGCAATAACCACAAAAACAAATTCCAGCTCACATAACATTTATGAGAGTTTATAAAAGATGTTTACAATAGATAGTCTGTCTCTAAAAGAGAGTTTTGAGAAATAATTCAACATCTTTAAAATCTTTGTAGAAACCTATTGTGAAATCTTTGCTTACAGTAGCAGTCTACTTTATGTATTGGTTTATATTCTTTGTTAAATCATTTTTAAGCTTAAAAAACAGTCTTCTTATTTTTCCTCCTTAAAATTGATTTTATCACAGATCCTCCTTTCCTTTTGAGTCTGGCTTTTGAGTATGGGAATCCCCAGCATCTCCTCCTTGATAACATCACTGCCTTTGCAAATGGAATTTTGTTTGTTTACATTGTTGGTTGTTTCCAAAGGACTCGTTTTTCTTGGAACATGCTGCAAAACCAAAATATTTTGAATGTTACTCATTGACAGGACAGTAGAGTCAAGAGTTTGCATAATTACTTTAACTAGATCCCTGATAATAACACTAGAAAGAATATACATATATTTATAATTACTATCATTTTCAAACATTTTAAAAACATTTTCATATATGGGGACAATGCCATATATAAAATACACTGAGCAATGGTAGAGAAAGATTAGCAGTTTTTATTTTAATCGTTTAATTTTTACAGTACTGTATTTCAGTTAATTTGTGACTATGGGGTAGAAATGAAAATAAGTTTTCCCTTTTTTACTATCTATGATTAAAGTATACCTTGTTTTATAAGTAGAAAAGGTCACATTGGTAGCATTATTGCTTTTGCTTCATTTAAAATGTTCTCTAGCCAGGCACAGTAGACATGCCTGTGATCTCAGCGACTAGGGGAAGCTGAGGCAAGAAGATCACAAATTTTAAGCCAGCCTGGGCTATTAAGCTGGACCCTGTCTCAAAATAAAAAAAAATGGGGCTGGGGATGTGGCTCAAGTGATAGCACGCTCGTCTGGCATGTGAGCGGCCCGGGTTCGATCGTCAGCACCACATACCAACAAAGATGTTGTGTCCACTGAGAATAAAAAAATAAATAAATAAATATTAAAATTAAAAAAAAAAATTTTAAAAAGGAATATAACTCAGTGGCAAAGCATCTCTGGGTTCAGTCAATCCCCAGGACTGCCAAAAAAAAAAAAAAAAGTTCTCTACAATAAGTAAATAAATTAATTCCTTTTAGAGACAGACATTATATGCATGTATGATTACACTGAACCATGTACAGCCAGAGGAATAAGAAGTTGTGTTCCATTTGTGTACAGTATGTCAAAATATATTCTAGCGGTGTGCGGTGGCGCACGCCTGTAATCCCAGTGGCTTGGGAGGCTGAGACAGGAAAATCATTAGTTCATAGCCAGGCTTAGCAACTTTGAGGCACTAAACAACTCAGTGAGACCCTGTCTCTAAATAAAATACAAAATAGGGCTGGGATGTGGTTCAGTGGTAAGTACCCCTGAGTTCAATCCCCGGTACCAAAATAAATAAATAAATAAATGATTTAGGTAAATCTCCATTATTTCATTGAATAAAATATATCATTTTTCTGAATAAACCTAGAAATCAGAAAAGTGTCAGAGCAGCTCTTTAGTATTCAGGTCATTTGAAGATAAAAGTTAAGATTGCTGTTGTACTTATTTATTTTTATTTCTAAAATTTTTACTAGTGTGCTATTGGTTGATACATGAGCAGACTCATCTTTATGAATGGCTAGTTTCAGTATTGGCATACTGTTGACTTTTGTGGCTTAAGTCAGCTTGTCATTGAGAAGTGATTCTTTCTTTCTTTTTTTTTTTAAAATAGAGAGTATTTTTAATATTTATTTTTTTTTTAGTTCTCGGCAGACACAACATCTTTGTTGGTATGTGGTGCTGAGGATCGAACCCAGGCCGCGTGTATGCAAGGCGAGCACGCTACCGCTTGAGCCACATCCCCAGCCCCCGAGAAGTGATTCTCTTAACTGGTTAATTTTTTTTAAGTTGTTGATAGACCTTTATTTTTTATTTATTTATATATGGTACTGAGAATCAAACCCAGTGCCTCACACATGCCAGGCAAGTGTGCTACCATTGAGCCACAGCCTCAGCCCTGGTTAATTCTTGGAAAAAAATAATTAATGTGGCAATCAATGATTAAGACAGGAATTCAACTTCTATTTGGAAGTATAATACAAAAATTCTTTAATAGAAATTTGGTATTATAAGTGAAGAGTTGACATTCTATGTACCAAAGAATTATGAATAATCATAAAAATAGTTTCAGCTTAATTTTGCTTAACATTTAAAGGAAATCAGCTGGTTACAGTGGGGTACACCTGTAGTCCCTGCTACTTTGGAGCCTGGGAGGATTGCTTAAGTCCACACGTTCAACATGAGCAACAAAGCAAGGTCCAATTGCAAAAAGCAAAAATGAAATTGGGATAGTAACATTTTTTTGTATCATGTCTCAATAATTTTCCATGTATTGTTTTTAAACATAGTCATTAAAATGCCCTCTATTTCTTAGAAGACACAGTAAAGAAACTATAAAAATATTTTTGTTGGGACATCTGGTTTTTTTTCCTATAAAGTTGTGTATTTCTTTTTAACATCTAATGTTGGTGCCCTCAAAAAGCCATATATGGCTGTGTCAGATATTCTTCAACTTAGATATTTACTTCTAAACATTTTAATGAACATAAATATTAATAAATTACTATGCTAAACACTTGGTAACATAAATTAATTATAATTATGTTCAGTATATAAAATCCCTGTTTTCAGGTGGTTTATTAAGTATTAAATGGTTTATCTTATCTTTTAAATTATTATTTCCTTATACTTGAAAGAGTTGGACTCTCTGATCGGGAACAGAGATGGGAAATCTGTTGGCTCCTCATGGCTTTTCTTACACGACAAGGATCCTGTTAGACAATAAGAATCCAGAATAAGCCAATGCGGAACTGTGAAATGGTGAGCAGCATTAGGCGTTACATTTGTAAAAAATCTGTAATATGTCTCCTAGCTGCATATTCTTAGAAACTAAATGAAAAGCAACTGACATTACCCTTGATAAAGTTAGTCCTTTGGAGACCAAGATCTTATGAAAGCAATTCAAAAGAGTAAACATTTAATGGTCACATACATATCAAGTATTGCACAGAGATGAAACAAAACTGACTTAACTTTCATGGAGTTTGTAAACTGATGGGGGAATCAGAAAAACAAGCATTGTCATCTGTGTCAGGCCTTGCTGGTGTGTCAGGCATGCTCTAGGGATGCAGTTAAGTGAGCAATTAATTTTGTTTGGGAAGTTAAAAAAAAAAAGCTACAGAAGGACAATATCATTTTACTCCAGGCCTTAAAGAATAAGTAGGTATTGTCACTTGACCACTAGGAGATATGTGGGAAGGTCTTTTATCTTCTAAGTAGAAGGACAAGTACAAAGAATTGTTTAAAATGCTAAATATTCTATCAAGGTGGCCAAGCCAAGGATTCCTTATAGGGACAGTGAGCTGGAAAGAGGCACAAAATGAAGACTTACTGTAATAGGCCAGTATATTCAATTTGCAGATGCAAAATACCACAGAGACTAAAAGTTGCCTGGCTTTGAGATGGGACATATTATTGCTCCCGTAAGTACTCTCATAACATTTGATGATGTATATATTTCAATTTGGGCTCTGCCTTAGTTAGAAGAAAGGCATGATAACAAAGATAAATGGGGCGCAGTAGCAAACGCCTATAATCTCTGTAGCTTGGGAGGCTGAGGAAAGAGGATCACAAGTTCAAAGCCAGCCTCAGCAAGTTGGCAAGGCTCTGAGCAACTTAGCAAGACCCTGTCTCAAAATAAACAAATAAAAAGGGATGGGAATGTGGTAAAGCACTCCTGCATTCAATACTCATACAGAAAAGAAACCCCCAAAAAACAAAAAGATGTTACTGCAAAGCAGGATCTGAGTAGTGTCCAAAGACATCATTGTTGCTTTTGGCATTCTTGTTTAGAATTCTAAAGACAGCCCATCTGAGAAGGACTCACAGAGGTGGGCTTCAGGCTAGGTTGGAATAATAGTTGGAATTTCAGTAGGTGTAGAATAAGAGGAAGAACATTTTAGATATGGAAATTATCACCTGGGCAAGGGCAGGTACTACAAATAATGCCTTGTATCTAGGGGCTATGTGGGTGGCATTGACCAGTGTAGGGAATAGTGGGGAATAACTTGCTCTATTCCACACTCTTTTTTTTTTTTTTAATATTCTTTTAGTTTTTTCTAAATATTCTTTTAGGTGCCCTCCACATGCGAGGCAAGCACTCTACTGCTGAGCTACAACCCAGCCCTCCATTACACAGTCTTTACTTGTTCTCCCATAGGAATAATCTGGTCTCCAAAGAAAATACATAAGTTCTTGAAAAACTGAAGTAAGTTTCAAGGAAAAGGGAATAAGCACTCTCTCCCTGGCATGGCTGATTTTGTGGCAGGTGTGCCATTTTGTGGTCCACACCTTGGAAAGGGTGATAAGCTCATTTTTAAAAATGTTCACTGAGCTTCAATTTTATGTCAGGTACTGTTCTGGGCCAACATTCATCAGTAAAATAGACATAAACTTCAACCTGGTGGAGCTAAGGTTCTAATGTAAATATAGTAAAGAGGAAAAAGGAGAAACAAAGGGGTTATTTGTGGGAAAGGCTGAAAAGAGAACAATCCTGAAGGTGGTCTAGGACAACACATCCCAAATAAGATTTCAACTACAGCATCTTCTTCAGTCAGATGCCCAAGCTTGAGTTTGGAGAGGTGGAGCCTCAATTTGTATTTCTGAGCCAACCAGAGGTTCTTGTTGGCAGGTCCCACCTGACTCTATTCCACTTAGGACAGGTTTCCCAATTTGCCTGAAATTTTCCCAAGGGTAACTTCACATTCCTGGTAAATCAAAATATCCAAGGAATGGGCTTGGGGGTAGACAGGATTTTATGTTTTGTTTCATTTTGTTTTATTTTTTTATGTGGTGCTGAGAATCGAACCCAGTGCCTCACGCATGCGAGGTAAGCACTCAACCACTGAGCTACAACCCCAGCCCAGGATTCCATGTTTTTAATAATCAACTCCTGTATCTATTATCTTGAAACAAATCTCAACCATTATGTTTTTTCATTTATACCTATTTCAGTATGGATCTCTAAAAGATAAAGGTTCTTAATAAAAATATAAACCCAACTTCATTATTACATCTAAAAACATTAGCAGAATGTAATATACTTACAATTCATCAGGAATTGCAACATTTCAATGCCAATAGATTGTAAGAAATCATATGTTTCGGGGGCTGGGGTTATGACTAAGTGGTAGGGCCTTGCACGTGTGAGGCACTGGGTTTGATCCTCAGTACCACATAAAAATAAATAAAATAAAGGTGTTGTGTCTATCTACAACTAAAAAAATATTTTTAAAAAATAAATTGTACATTTTTGTGTCAGAATTAATTAGAATTATGAGTCTAGTTACATGAAGTCTTTGGGAGCCACACTTCATAAAATGCAGCTGGCCTACATTTAAGCCCTAGATATTTGTTCAGAATTTATTGTACCTGTTTATATGCTATTTACTGAGGACATAAAGATGAATATGACAAGATTCCTGCTTATGAGTATAGCACTATAATATTGTTTTTAACTGTTAATGTCTAGATGATAGTCTATTAGTAATATTTCTTTTGTTTTGGTACTGGAGATTGAACCCAGGGGCACTTAACCAATGAGCCATATCCTTAGCCCTTTTTTAAAATTTTATTTTGAAACAGATTCTTGTGAAGTCACTTAGAATCTTGCTAAGTTGCTGAGGCTGGTTTTGAACTCAAGATCTTCCTGCCTCAGCTTCTTGAGTAGCTGGGATTACAGGTGTGCACCACTGTGCCTGGCTTTCTATTAGTAATATTTGAAGTCAGTGTTTTAATCTGTTATAATCGAGCTTTGCTCAGTTCTTCCCACTCTCAGCTGTGTGGTATGGGAGAGTGGGCATCAAAAAGCATTCTGCAATGCTGAGGGCTTTGGTACTTTCAGTTTTGTATCTCTTGTATATCCAGATCCACTCAAGACTTGAGATTCAACCAATAGTTTCTTTTGATACCCTCCTTCATTGAGAGTTGAGGCCACCCCTCCACCCAAACTGGTACAGAATTAGCAGTTGAAATATGTTCACTCCAGGGCCATCTTTGCATCAGTCAGATGATGTGTACAGTAGATTCTTAGTGACTTTCAAAATTTTGAGGAACTGAGGTGTAGCTCAAAGATAGGACACTTGCTTAGCATGTACAAGACCCTGGATTCAATTCCTAGCATCACAAAGTTTTTAAAAGATCAAAAGTTTAAAAAATATATATATATGTTCTGAGTAGTCTAGCAAACATGTTAAGCAGAATTTATTTTACTTTTTAATTATACACCGACACAATATCTTTATTTTTATGTGGTGCTGAGGATTGAACCCAGTGCCTCACATGTGCTAGGCAAGCACTCTGCCACTAAGGCACAACCTAGTCCCTTAAGCAGAATTTTTATTAGCTCCAACATTTATTTATTTATTTTGGTCAATGGACCTTTATTTTATTTATTTATAGTAGTGCTAAGAATCGAACCCAGTGATTCACATATGCTAAGCAAGCGCTCTACCACTGAGCCACAACCCCAGCCCTAAAGTTTTTTAGCATGTGTATTTCTAGATAATATTAGAATCTGTTGTTTCTCAAACTTAACTTAGACCACCTAAGATTATTTCCTCAGACACCAGAGTTTGAGAAACAATGATTTATGTGGTTAATGATTCTTATAGTCATTAAACTCAAGATCATTAGTACTATGTTGGAGTGAGTTTATCTTCTTTCTTTTCTTTTGTACAGTAGAATGAACCCAGGGGTGCTTAACTATTGAGCCACATCCCCAGACTTTTCTATTTTTGAGACCGGGACTCACCAAGTGGCTTAGGGCCTTGCCAAGATGCGGAGGCTGGCTTTGAACTTGCAATCCTCCTGCCTCTGCTTTCCGAGTTGCTGGGATTACAGATGTGCCCACCATACCTGGCTGGAATTTATCTTAATTAGGTTTGGGCCCTATATTTATTATTATTTTCTTGCTGAAATAATAATAAATTCTTGAATTTCATGGATTCCTGTGTTTCCATTTTTAGTTAATCACTGTTGATAGTTTATTCCTTGCAAACCAATGAGTTCTGGTGGTCCTAGATGCTGAAGAACTTAAATGGCTTTCAAATTTTTTTCTTTCAGTTAAGTAAGAGTTTAACCACTCAGTTGAAGGATATGTATGGTTACAAGTGGTGTCAAGAGTGCCTCTACCAACAACCTTCGTAGGCTTCCAGAACAGCTCCTGGATGCCTCAAAGAATCCTAGGCCCTAGGAACAAAGTTTAAAATTTACTAATGTGATCTATTAACTTCATTTAGAGATGGGAATAAAGGGGCCCCAAGAGGTTGGGGCTTGTTAATCACAAGTATTCATCTAAAACAAGTCCTATGACTTCCAAATTCATCATTTCCCCCATGTCCCTAGCCTCTGTGAAGCCTTGGCAGATTTTGTCCCCAGGCCTCTAGCATTGTTGCTGTGCTGCTCCACATTACAGCCCAGTGTGTTTGCCAACTGAAATGCTTGATATTAGGCACATTTATTTTTTTTTCTTTCTTTTTTTTTCTTTGAAGAGAGAGGGAGAGAGAGAGAGAATTTTTAATTTTTATTTTTTAGTTCTCGGCGGACACATCATCTTTGTTTATATGTGGTGCTGAGGATCGAACCCGGGCTGCGTGCATGCCAGGTAAGCGTACTACCACTTGAGCCACATCCCCAGCCCATTTAGGCACATTTCTACTCACATCATTCCAAGTTGGAATTAAAGTTTAAAGTGGGGAGGTATTAGAGACTGAAATTGATCAAGTTATGTTATATGCATGTATAAATATGCCACAATTAAGCCCATTATTCTGTATAATTAAGATGCACCAATTAAAAAGGAAAAAAACCCAAAATTTAAAGGTCTTCAAATTTTGCATTTCTTGAGATGCATCAAGGTTTTAGTACATTAATAGTCATCTTTTCTGACTTTGAGGGAATTTTTTAATAGCTGAATTTTTCTTCTAGTAATTTTTCTTCATCTTTCCTACCTTCCCTTTGCTGCTAGAAACCTTTGGTGACAAAACAAATGAAGTTCTTTGATGAAAAATAACTGAAAAACTCAGAACCAGTCATGTTGCTTTTGATACCTTCTTTTTATTGCAAATCAATATAATCAGGAAAATAGTCATGTTTTCTTCTAGCACAAGGTCATTTATTTCACAAAAAGTATTCTTCTATGCTGCCTGATATTCAGTGTCTAAAGCCCATTGTTTCATAAATTTTATCCAATTGTTAATCTTTTTTAAAAAATATAATGTAAGAAGATAAATGTAGACCCAATTATTCTATCATGGCCTTATAATCATTTTAAATTTTTTGAAATCACTTTAAAAAATAAGAACAATTTAATGAGTTCAACAGCCTGAATTATATAGACTCAATGTACCCTGTAAGAGGGAAGGAAAGCAAAAAGGAGGAGGAAGGAGGACAGACATTTAAATCGTACAGTTTTCTCCTGTGCCTCCTTTGTTTTCTACTCTGAAGAACAGCTTAGGAAAGAGGAGCCAGCTTTTTACTTCTATTTTTAATTAAGTTTACCTGAAGAAGCCTGGGAACTCCTGCAAAAATTTCTATCACTTCTCACTTTGCAGGTGTGATAAATTTTTTCACATCCTTCTTCCAAAAGAGTAAGTTCTCTTATAAGCAGAAACCATGCCAGAAATTGAGGTCTTAGAATTATAAAATTTAACAGCCCAGAACAATTACACCCTGGTAAAAGGAATAAGATAACAATACTTTATATCCTGAATGACATAAATAATTACTTAGCCTGAGTAAATGGTTATTCGTGACAAATTTTTTTGATCATGACACTCCTTGGAAAATTGTCTATATACGTTAGTTCATTTCTTTCTTTTTTTTTTTTTTTGTTATCAGGGATTGAACCCAGGACACTTAACCACTGAGTCACATCCCCAGCCCTTTTTATATTTTATTTAGAGACAGGGTCTTGCTAAGTTACTTAGGACCTCACTAAGTTGCTAAGGCTGACCTTGAACTCACAATCCTCCTGCCTTAGCCTTCCAAGCCATTAGGATTAGAGGTGTGGGCCACCACACTTAGTCTCATTAGTTCACTTTTCAGCCTTGCTTTTCTGATGTTCAGGGTATTTACATTTGTTATTACTGTGTGTGTGTGTGTGTGTGTGTGTGTGTATTTGTGTGTGTGTTGGGGATTGAACCCAGGGAATAATCTACCACTGAACTATAGCTCCAGTCCTTTATGTTTTTTCTTTTGAGACAGGTCTCACTGGGTTGCCCAGGTTGGCCTCAAACTTCTGAGTAGCTGGGATTACATGGGGCGCCATCTTGTCCTGCTTATTATTTTATGTAACATTCACTTGATATCCCCAGTCCCTATCATAGACAAATAAAGAAGACAAATAAAGAAGCAGGCTCTCCCATTTTCTAAGCTGTTCTTCAGTGTAGAAAACAAAAGGAAGCACAGGAGAAAATTGAGCAAACAATTTAAATTTCTGCTCTTCCTTCTTCCTTTCTCTTCTTCCTCTTATAGGGCACTTTAACCCTATAAGTCATACTGATGAATTCTTAATTGAAACAAAAACTTAGAATTAATTCTTGTAAGGCTATGGTAGAATAACCATCATAACCTTTTTACATAAGCAAACTTACATTTGAACAAAATATATGAAATAGTAGGGGTTAGACATTGGATATCAGGCAGCACTGAACAATGACTCTTGACCCATCTCCCCACACACATACACACCCCAAAAGAAAACAAACAACATGAGCTATATCAGTGTCTCTGCCCACTGGAAGGTCATAGCAGAGGGAGTCAACCCAGATGGGGTCTGGCAGTCTTACTTAGTTGAGCTAATAAAGCTGGAAGGTGAAAATGGCTAAAGTTCACAGGTGGGGCGAGAAGAGAGGTGCACAAAGAGAACACTCTTGAAACCTACACACCTTCCTCAAGATAATTGATCAGTCCATGTGTATGAGGAAACTACCAAGTCCTAGAAAAGGACCACCTGAAAGGATTAGAGGAAAGAAGACTTGGAACTCGTACAAAAGTTTGTGCCCACCTACAAGTGTGCAAAGCTCCTTGTAATTCATGGGACATCAAGTGGAGTAATGAGAAGGATACTGCCTCAGTACAGGGCAAAATTGACCCTCTACTGAAGATTGACAAAGTTTAAAAGGATCAAACTGTAGCTGGCTGAGGTGGTCCACACCTGTAATTCCAGTGATTTGGGAGGCTGAGTCAGGAGGATCATACAAATTCTAGGCCAGCCTGGGCAACCTAGTGAGAATCTGTCTCAAAATAAAAAATAAAAGGGGTATGGTTGTAGCTTAGTGGTAGTATCCCTCGGCTCAATCCCCAGGATCACACTTATCAAATGGCCAATGAGGTGTGATGGTGCATACCTCAGTCTGGAGACTGAGGCAGGAGAGTCACTTGAGCCTAGGAGTTTAAGGCCAGCTTGGGCAAACTTAGCAAGACCCCATTCTCCCCACACATATACACACCCCAAAAGAAGGAAATGTCTGGCATCCAATGAAAAATGACCAGAAAAATATCACTCATAATAAAGAGTGGAAAAAAATGAATAAAGGCCCAACAATGACAGAGGAAGCATTAAAATGTTAACCTTTTTCAGCTTATACAAAATAGTGATAAGGAAACATAAGGCATATTAAATGAAGACATGAAAGATATAAAAAAGACCTAAATTGAACTCTAGAGTTGAAAATAACACACTGGCGGGATTACCAATTAAAAGCAAATTAGACGCTACAGAAGAGAATAGTAAGCTTGAAGATACAGCAATAGAGTCTATCCAAATGAAAACCAGAGAGAGAAAAAGACTGAAACCTCCTTACCCCACAAAAAGAAATACACATGCACACCAATTAGCAGCCTAATAATGCACTTATAATTGGGTTCTCAGAAGGAGAGGGAGGAGCATAAAATATTTGAAAACATTATAACTGAGATTTTTCTAAATTGAAGGAAAACTAGAAACCTCCATCCTATATGCCTAATGAACCCCAAGCACAAAAGTATGAAGAAAACTATATCAAGGCATATTATAATTGTATAGCCTAAAACTAGTGGTAAAGATAAAATTACAGAATTCAAATGGAAAAGATATTATGAATAAAAGAAACAAAGATAACAGATTTCTCTTTGGAAATAATGAGTAACAATGCAGCAATACCTTTAAAAATGGTGGGGTGCGGCATCTAATCTTGAACAATATGCCCAGTGAAAATATATTTCAAAGATAAAGGTAGGAGCCAGACACAGTGGTGCACTTCTATAATCCCGGTGAGTGGTAACTCAGGCAGGGTAATTGCAAATTGGAAGCCAGCCTTGGCAACTGAGTGAAACACTGTCTTCAAATAAAAAATAAGAAGGGCTGGGGTATTTATTTTTTTCTAAATGTCAATACAGATATAAAATAATTTTTTTGGAAAAAAAAAAGGCTGAGGATGTAGATCAGTAGTAGAGTATCCCTGGGTTCAGTCCCTAGGACTGTAAAATAAAATAAAATAATAATAATAATTGAGTTGGGATGTAACTCAGTGGCAGAATACTTGCCTACCGTGTGAGGGGCCCTGGGTTTAATCCTCATCACTGCAAAAAATAACTATTTGATTTTTAAGGCATAATAAATACTTTTTAAAGACATGAAAGTGCTGGGCATGGTGGCACATGTCTGTATTCTCAGTTATTTGGGAGGCTGAGGGAGAAGGATTGCAAGTTCAAAGCCAATATTAGCAAAACACTGTCTCCAAAAAAATAAGGTGGCAGGTAACTGGAGATGTAGCTCAGTGGTAAAACAATGCTGGATTCAATCTCTAGTAAAAAGTATTTATCACTAGAAGACCTGCTATAAAAATAAAAAGAACCTCAGGAGGGGGCTGGGCTGGGATTGTGCTCAGCAGTAGAGCGCTCACCCAGCATGGGCAGGACCTGGGTTTGATCCTCACCACAACATAAAAATAAAATGCATTGTGTTGTGTCCATCTACACCAAAAAATAAATATTAAAAAAAAAAAAAGAACCTCAGGAGGTTGAGGCAGGAGGATTGAGAGTTCAAAGCCAGCCTCAGCAATGGTGAGTTGCTAAGCAACTCAGTGAGACTCTGTCTCTAAATAAAATACAAAATAGGACTGGGGATGTGGCTCAGTAGTCAAGTACCCCCGAGTTCAATTTCTAGTCCAAGGGGCTGGGGATGTGGCTCAAGCGGTAGTGCGCTCGCCTGGCATGCGTGCGGCCCAGGTTCAATCCTCAACACCACATACAAACAAAGATGTTGTGTCCGCCGATAACTAAAAAAAAAAAAATAAAAATATTTAAAAAAAAATTTCCAGTCCAAAATAATAATGATAATAATAATAATAAAGAAAATCCTTTAGGAGAAGGAAAATAATGCCAGATGAAACCTGAGGTGAATTTGTAAGTGACTGGGAAATTATGTCATGTACTGATGCTATACCATAATTAATTCAGATAAAGAAAATGTCAGTCATTTTTCATACTTTAGTAAGTCCTTGATAGCCTTTTAAAATTTCAGTTTCTTGGCCATCATCTTCAGTATGCCATATTTTTGGAAGAATAAGAAGTCAAGAAAACACTAAACTAGTGCTCACATGCCAAAGTTCAGTTTGTGAAGGATTTGAAATCCTGTTTTCTGGCTCTCAAAAGTCAAGCTTAGTTTTTTCCCATTGCCACTATCTTAGAGCGTCTTAAAGAACCAGAGCTCAGCTGGCTTTGCTGAAATACATCTTCCTAATACCAATAGGTTTCTTGTTACTAGAGCTTTCCTTCATGTGAAGAGAATTTAAATAGTCTGTCATTTTTCTTCATATCTCTTTGTGAGAACTCTTTGATATTCTTCCTGACCCTAATGAAAATCAAATTGTTTTTAAGATATTTCCTTACGAAGCGGATGTAACCATGCACATTTGTGTATACCTGTAATCCCAGTGATTTGGGAGACTGAACAGGAGGATGCAAGTTTGATGTCAGCCTTAGCAACATAGTGAGACACTCAGCAACTTAGTGAGAACCTGTCTTAAAATAAAAAGAATGGAGTGGGGGGAGGTGGGGGGTGGTGCTGTGTTGTGGCTCAGCGGTAGAGTGCTTGCCTAGCACATGCAAGGTCTTGGGTTCTATCCTCAGCACCACATAAAAATAAATAAATAAGATCAAGGTATTGTGTCCAACTACAACTAAAAAATAAATATTAAAAAGAAAGAACCGGGCATACAGTTCAGTGGTAAAGCACTCTTGTGTTCAATCCCCAGCTTTAAAAAAAAAAAAAAAAGGCTGATATAGAGTATTCTTTGTTTTGCTTTGTTTTGTTTTTGCAGTTCTGGGGATTGAATCCAAAAGTGCTCTGCCACTGAGCTATACCCCAGCCCCCTATATTTTTTAATTTTGAGACTGGGTCTCACTAAGTTGCAGAGGCTGGCCTTGAACTTGCAATCCTTCTGCCTCAGCCTTCCAAGTCACTGGGATTGCAGGTATGCATCACTATGCCAGACTTTTTGTGCAGAATTTTAAAATTTTTGGCATGAAATTTGTCAATTTTTTGTGACTTCTGTATTATGTGACATACTTGGACTTCCCTGTGCCAAGAGTTTTTTCTTTAATTCTCCTATGTGTTATTTTAGCACTTTAAGCTTCTCTCTCCCTCACTCCCTCATTTAACTCTTAGATCCATTTGGAATTTATTTTTGTGTAAGGTGTGAGGTATGGGTCCACATATTTTCCATATGATTGCCATTTCTCCACTGTTTTGAAACATCACTTTTACACTGTATCCTCTTGATTAAAAGCTATTATTCAAGATATTTATTGATTCTATTAAGAATAATTTTAAATATTAGTTTTAATATATTCAAGGATGTTTCCAGTGTCCATGGTAGTGATTCTGAACTTGCAGGGTGACCTATTCCCCTTCCCTCCCTGACAAACCTTGCTGTCAAGAGCTGCTGTTTCTGAGTGCCTGTGGCTTGGTGATAGCTGGTGCCAAGAAATAGTTTCCAACCATTGATCTAGGGAGTCTCCCCTTGGACAAGGACCATCTTTCACACAGCTGTAGAAAACTCACCTGGTGTCATACATCTATCCAGTGACTCCAGGCTTATTACTTGAATGAAAAAAAAATAGAACCTTAATTAGAATTCAGAATTGAATGAGAATCCAAAGAAACTCCTCCTTTTTTAGTCTGATCCTGGAATTGTCTTTCCATTTTAGATTTGTAGTCTTTTTTTTTTTTTTTTTTTTTTGATACCTAGGATTGAACTCAAGGGCACTTGACCACTGAGCCACATCCCCAGCTCATTGTATTTTATTTAGAGACGGGGTCTCATTGAGTTGCTTAATGCCTCACTTTTGCTAAGGCTGGCTTTGAACTCGTGATCCTCCTTTCTCAGCCTCCCAAGCTGCTGGGATTATAGGCATACACTACTGCACCTGGCTAGAACTGTAGTCAAATTTTATAATTTTACTTTAATGAGCCATATATCATTCTGTGGAAAGGATTAGACTGCATTTCGGCACAATTTAAAGCCAGGGATGCAGGGATAAGGTCCATCTCCTGTAATTTGAAACTGTTTAAAGCCAGAAAAGAGTGTGGTCCTTTAAAAAGTAGAATTCTCAGGGTGCCCTTGACTGTGAAGACTCTTAAGAGTTCTATCTGCAGGGGACTGAGGAGGCCACCTGCCTGGTAGGGTCCCCAGTGCACTCATAGGCTGGATATCCTCAGGGAGGCTCTTTTAAGTCAAGTGTTTGAGCAGCCTCCTTGGTTTGATAGAGAATGATGCATGTGGCTTTAATTTAATCCAATATTATAAAATTATTTAGATTATTTAAGGAGTAGCTTTCACTTTGAATTTTGGCACAGCAAACATTCTGTACGCTTGCAAGTCCTCGTGGCAGTGACGCCTTTGTGGCCTTTGCTGACCTCCTTTCTCGGAGTATCAGAAATAGGGAAAGGGCACCAAGTAGGGAGGGAAGCTGAAAGAGTTGTATAAGTGATTTTCTTTGGTGTAGGATCTTTTTTTTACTTATTTTTTTTATTAATTAGTTTGTATTAGAGACTGTTAGGTATTTAATTTGCTTGTTTATTTTTTATGGAGCTGAGGATCAAACCCCAGGGCCTCCCACATGTTCAGATGTGCCATACTGCTAAACTAAATCCCCAGCCCAGACATTTAAAAAAATAAACTTAGGAAGGACACACTAGAACTCCTTTTTAATGTTCACGATGAAGTAAAGAAATAATATCCACTTTATAGGTTTAACTAGACATCACAATTGACTGATTTATTCCATGCGATTGTGATGTCTGCAGAGCAGGCCCCTGGGATAGTAATACTAAACTCTAGCTAACATGGTTCTACCACAGTAAATATCTTCAGGATTTAAGGGGAGCCCTTCACACAGATTTTTCTATATCCATTTGATGATAGCTTTCCTGATTTCCCTTCCAGTCCCATTTCACTGCTCAAAACTCACACTGTGCTAGTACATTCATGCCAGCATGCCTGTGAGTAACTCGGTCTGGGTCCTAAAGAGCAGATTTCACTTAGCTGGCTGCTCTTCTTAGTTTCAGCTATAGATGTCACCTTTTGGCAAACTTTTCCCACTTTTTCTTCCTCCTTTCTCACCCATCATTTCTGCTCTCCACTGCGTTCTGTCTCAGATGGATTGTAATCACCCAGATCACTCAACAACTGCACAGATTCATCCACCAATGGGAAGGTTCCACATTGGGAGGACTTACCCTTCCAGACTCTTCCTGAGTGCCCTTCCATGTGACAGGAATGAATTTTGTATTTGTTTGGCCTTGTGACTGACAGAATGGCAAATTGGGGGGAACTGGAGAGGAGATGGCAATTTCAACAGTGAAAAAAACATTTAGTAGAGACTATCTCTTCTGCCTTCTTCGGGCGTGTCCCTCTTCTGGGCATCTCTTCAGGATTTCATTCCTCCGTCCAACTGCCGTTCACAACTGCCCTTTCCAACTGCTCCAGAACCCTTGGCCCTGGCATTCCGTGATGTAAATTATTCCACGCATGGTTCAAAATGGGTGCGAAGCAGTGTTGCCAGGTGTCGGATCACTAGTGTAAGTTGACTAGATCTCGGGAGAGAACTGCTCTTGGAATTTGTACAGTTGTTATGGTTTCAGCCAGAGCACAGTCATTGTGCTGGCTGAGCCTGAAGCTGCTGCTGGTGGGGGAGAGAGGGAGTCAGATCCTGGAGTGGGGTTGAACTTCTGGTTAAGATTTTCTACTTTAAACATTCTAGTATTGGGATATGGATTGTTTGGAATCAAACAGTGGCAGTGCCTCTGCAGGGGGAAGAACCCCAGCCTTGCGGGCCAGAGCCCATAGCAAAGCCTGCGGCCAGAGGGCCTCCTCTTCTGTCTTAAAATGCAGAGAACCCACTTTTTTTATTCCTAAAGATAGCCAAAATATGGCAAGAAATCCAGATTGCTCTCCATGTTTAGAAACATCCAGTCACCAAATGAAAAACTTCTGAATCTATGAGGTCTTTTCTAAAACAAAAATACTATTTCTCTCCTGTTCATTCTACATTTGAGGAAATGAACTGTTCTTCGTTTATAGTCCCTTTGGGGAATCTGCATGAGGGAGAAGTTGCTGCCAACTATCTTTGTTTTTTTTCACAATCTTTCTTGACTTATAAGTTGAGGGTTTGTTTTCAATAAACACAATTTAAACAATATTTCTTGAATGACCACATAATTTTATTTTACATACTATTATTTTTTATTTATTTATTTTGAGATATGGTCTTGCTGTGTTACACAGGCTGACCTCAAATTTCTGGGCTCAATCTCCTGGGCTGAAGTGATCCTCCTGCCTCAGTCTCCCAAGTAGATGGTACTACAGGTATGCACCACCATGACCAGAGACCACAAAAAAATTTTAAATCTCATTAATAATAAGCAATTAGAGGGCTATCTCATGAATTACACAGTTATTTATCTAAAAAAGCGAAAGGTATGTTCTTACATTGCACTGATACCACTGGCTTTTCAATCTGCTTGACTGAAACATGCTTTCCTCTTCCTGTCTTTACAGTTGTCATGGATGATGATGATGACTCGTGTCTCCTTGATCTTATTGGGTAAGGTGCTTATTTTAAACTCAGGATGAATTAAATGTGTGGCATTTACTGAACAAATACAGCCTAAAAGTATATTGAAACCTGCTCAATTTTTTAATAAAAATTAAATGATCATCATAGTTATAGCAGGAAGAGAAAGAGATATATCAACATGGGGGTCATAATTTAGTAATTGCTTACTAAACTTTTTTTTTTTTTTTTTTTTTTTTTAACAAATCCCAGGAGGAAAGGCTGCAGGTGTAGCTCAGTGGTAGAGCATATGTTGAGCATGCACAGGTCCCAGGGTTCGATCCCCAGTACTATAAAAAAGAAAATCCTAGGAGGCAGAAAGGAATGATAATTGGAACTGGAACAACGTAAATAAAAAAAAAAAAAATAGCCAGGAGTGTTGTCACACATATTTAATCCCAGCAATGCAAAAGGCTGAGGCAGGAGGATTGCAACTTCAAGGCCAGCTTTGGCAATTTAGCAAGAGCTTCAGCAACTTAGTGTCTCCAAAAAAAAAAAGAAGTAAAAAGAGCTGCAGATGTAGCTCAATGGTAAAGCACCCTAGGATCCAATTCCTGGTGCCAATAAACAAACAAAACAAAACAAAGAATTACTAAGAAAATTGCCTTAAAATAAGGAGATTTTCTACAGGCTAATATCATTTTCTTTTTGCCCTAGTAAATATATAGCTATATATTCATTATATTTAAATTAAGTGAAGGTAATTGTTTATTTGTTGTTCCCCTCTTTCTTTTTTTCTTTTCTAGAGACCCACAAGCATTGAACTATTTTCTACATGGACCTAGTAATAAATCTGTAAGTATTACCTAGAACATCATAGACATAAAAATCTGTTCCTTCTCACAGTTGAAGCAACTTCTTTATTGAATTTCCTCTTTGCAGAGTAACGATGACTTGACTAATGCAGGATATTCTGCAGCCAATTCAAATTCAATTTTCGCCAACTCTACTGTGAGTATTGGAAACAAAATGTTAACGCTCAAGTACTTTTGTCTCAAGGATGCCTTGTGAATTGAAGATTTATTTGTTGTATGGTGGGGAGGCTTTTTTGTCTGTTTTTTTGTAGTGCTGGTGATCAAACTCTTATACATGGTAGGAAAGTACTACTGAGCTGTATCCCCAGCCCCTGTTTGTTTTTGTTTGAGACAGAGGTCTCACTGTGTTGTCCAGGCTGGTCTCAAACTCCTGGTCTCAAGTCATCCTCCTTCCTCAGCCTTGTGAGTAGCTGGGACTATAGACAGGCACCATTAATTGAAGTTTTAATTGTCTTTGTATCATGATTAGAATCTTTGTCTTTTGTAATTTATATGGGAAGAAAAATCTATTGAATTATGTTGACATTATTTTTTACTTTTAGTCACAGATGACAAGGTATATGAGCCAGGCATTGGTGATACATGCCTATAATCCCAGCAACTTGGGAGGCTGAGGCAGGAGGATCACAAGTTCAAAGCCAGCCTCAGCAACTTAGCAAGGCCCTAAGCAATTTATCAGGACCCTGTCTCTAAATAAAATATAAAAAAGACTGGGGATGTGGCTCAGTGGTTAAGCCCCTGTAGGTGCAATCCCTGGTACCAAAAAAAAAAAAAAAAAGATTACTGTGTTTGAGCCAGGAGTGGTGGTTTACACCTGTTATTCCAGCTACTTGGAAAGCTGAAGGTGCACACCTGTAATTCCAGCAACTCAGGAGGCTGAGGCAAGGGAGTCATAAATTCAAGGCCAGCCTCTGCAACTTAGCAAGACCCTGTCTAAAAAATTTTTAAAACTTAATAAGGACAGAGAATGTAGTGTAGCTCAGTAGTTTAATCCCCAACACCATTAAAAAAAAAAAAAAAAAAAAAGATTACCATGTTTATACTATACATAGTTACTATGTCGAGATTATAGGGTCTAGCTAAATGGCCCAGGCTGGTCTCAAATTTGTGATCCTCCTACCCCAGCCTCCCGAGTAGCTGGGATTATGGACATGTGCCACCAAACCCAGAAATTTTCTTGCTTTCCCCACTTCCTTTCAAATGATTCTCCAAGTCCAAATATGATGTCCACCTGACCTGGTGGATATGTTAGTCCTATTTCAGTTGTTAATTGGATGTAAAATGAATCAGTCAGCTTTTCTATCTAGATCTTCTCGTAATTTAGCACCTAACACCACCTTAGTTAAGGCAAATTGGCATACTCATTCTTGAATACTCTGTTTTTAACTTTTCTCTTTACCTCCCCCCATTTCTTTTTCAATCTCTCTCTCTCTCTCTCTAATTGTAGTAAATACATACAACAGAATTTGTCATCTTGGTGCTAGGCATGACATAGCTTAGTTGAAGAGCACTTGCCTAACATACATGAGGCCCTAGGTTCGATCCCCAGCACTATAAAAAGCAAAACAAAAACATCTTGCTGGGTACAAAGGCATGTACCTGTAATCCCAGTGGCTCGGAAGGCTGAGGCAGGAAGATTGTGAGTTCAAAGCTTGCCTTAGCAACTTAGTGAGGTCCTAAGCAACTCAGCAAGACCCTGTCTCTAAATAAAATACAAAAAAAAAAAAAAATGGCTGGAGATGTGGCTCAGTGGTTAAGTACTTCTGGGTTCAATCCATGGTACCAAAAAAAAAAAAATCTTAACTATTTTCAAGTGTACGTTTCAGTAGTGTGTATACCCATATTGTCTTCATTTTATTTTAAATGACTGTTGCTTCCTTATTATTTCCTTTTACAATATTTGGCATGTTCCATAAAAGACTACTAGACAGTGGAGTGTGTCTTATTTATCACTGTGTTCAGTTCTCTTCTTACCCTATGCTATTATCTCTAGTTGAAATGCCTATTTCCTAATGGCTCCTTGAGGACAGAAACTAACCTACAAGTGAGCTTAGTAAATGTTTTACTTAAATAAAATGTTTTACTTTTTTTTAAATATATTTTTTTTAGATGTTGATGGATCTTTAGTCATTTATTTAAATGTGGTGCTGAGAATCGAACCCAGGGCCTCACACATGCTAGGCAAGTGCTCTACCACTGAGCCACAACTCCAGCCCCAATAAAATGTTTTACTTTTAAAAAGAACACTTAAGTGGAGTTTTCTTAGGTTTTTGGGGTTTTTTTGTTTTTGTTTTTGTTTTTTTTTTTAGTTTTTTTTGTTGTTGTCGTTAATTTAAAGAAATGTTAAAAACATTAGTGATTTTAAAAATATGTTAATATGTTGATTACTTTGAAGAAATTAAATGGCTAGGTATGGTGCACACCTGTAATCCCAGCTGCTCAGGAGGTTAAAGTAGAAGGATCACAAGTTTGAGGATAGCCTTCGCAAACCTATCTCAACAAAAATTTAAAAAGTGTCAGGGATGCAGTTCAGTAGAAGAATGCCTCTGGGTTCAATCACCAGTACCATCAAGGAGGAAAAAAAAAATCAATGACTCATTTTGTTAGAACCTTGTTTTATCTGGACTGTTCTTGCTGGCACACCTTGTAGACCCCTTGTAGAATAATATCCTTCACTTGGACTTCTGGGATACAAAGAACTAGAAAGAAAAACTGTCTCCTAATACATAACAACTCTAGATTTGAGTCCCACTCCCTTGGACTGGAAGCTACTTTATTTATATGTGGTGCTGAGAATCGAACCTAGTGCCTCACACATGCTAAATAAATGCTCTACCACTGAGCCACACCCCAGCCACTGAAGCCACTTTAAAAAAATAAAATCTTAGGTGCTTGGAGTGTAGCTCAATGGTAGAGCATGTATTTAGCATGCACAAGGCCTGGGTTCTATCCCCAGCTCCAAAAAAATAAAAATAAAAATAACTAAAGTCTATGTCAGTATCTCAAAATCATGGAGCTGACCTACAAGTATTATTCAGCACTCATGTTGTTTATCTGTTCCCTACAAAATAATTTACCAGAGCAATGAAAGTATAGACTTACAGTGTTTAGAAAACAAAGTGAGTAGTTTAAAGACTTGTACCTGAAAAATAGATTGTTATGCTTTATTTGTATTCAAAAGTGAGATTAATTTTTGTGCATTTCTTTCAAAGGCTGGATGTGCCATATAATACCTTCTTATTTTTTCAGAATGCTGATCCTAAATCATCCCTCAAAGGTGTAAGCAACCAGCTTGGAGAAGGGCCCAGTGATGGACTGCCACTTTCAAGTAGCCTTCAGTTTCTTGAAGATGAACTTGAGTCTTCTCCTCTTCCTGATCTCAGTGAGGACCAACCTTTTGACATTCTTCAGAAATCTTTGCAGGAGGCTAATATCACTGAACAGACATTGGCAGAAGAGGCATATTTAGATGCCAGTATAGGTTCAAGCCAACAGTTTGCACAAGCTCAGCTTCATCCTTCTTCATCAGCATCCTTTACTCAGGCTTCTAATGTTTCTAATTACTCAGGTCAGACGCTGCAGCCTATAGGGGTGACTCACGTGCCTGTTGGTGCATCATTTGCAAGCAATACAGTAGGTGTGCAACATGGCTTTATGCAACACGTGGGGATCAGTGTTCCCAGCCAGCATTTGTCAAATAGCAGTCAGATTAGTGGTTCTGGTCAAATACAATTAATTGGGTCATTTGGTAATCAACCTTCCATGATGACTATTAATAATCTAGATGGATCTCAAATTATATTAAAGGGCAGCGGACAGCAAGCCCCATCAAATGTGAGTGGAGGGCTTCTGGTTCATAGACAGACTCCTAATGGCAACTCTTTGTTTGGGAACTCCAGTTCCAGTCCAGTAGCACAGCCTGTTACCGTTCCATTTAACAGCACAAATTTTCAAACATCTTTACCTGTGCATAACATCATCATACAAAGGGGTCTTGCACCAAACTCAAATAAAGTCCCAATTAATATACAGCCAAAGCCTATCCAGATGGGTCAGCAAAATACATACAATGTGAACAATTTGGGAATTCAGCAGCATCATGTACAACAAGGGATCTCTTTTGCCTCTGCAAGCTCACCCCAGGGCTCAGTAGTTGGTCCACACATGTCTGTGAACATTGTCAACCAACAGAATACAAGAAAGCCCGTCACCTCACAGGCAGTGAGCAGCACTGGGGGTAGTATCGTTATTCATTCCCCCATGGGCCAGCCTCATACACCCCAAAGTCAGTTCCTCATACCTACAAGCCTTTCCGTCAGTTCCAACTCGGTACACCATGTCCAGACCATTAATGGGCAACTTCTTCAGACTCAACCTTCTCAGCTCATTTCTGGCCAAGTGGCCTCGGAGCATGTCATGTTGAATAGGAATTCTTCCAACATGCTCAGGACCAACCAACCATATTCTGGACAGATGATAAACAACCAGAATACTGCCGTCCAGTTAGTGTCGGGGCAGACATTCGCCACCTCTGGAAGTCCAGTGATAGTCAATCATGCCTCTCCTCAGATTGTTGGTGGGCAGATGCCCTTGCAGCAAGCTTCACCAACTGTATTACACCTGTCACCTGGGCAGAGCAGCGTTTCCCAAGGAAGACCAGGCTTCACTACCATGCCCTCTGCAACAAGCATGTCAGGACCTAGTCGGTTCCCTGCTGTTAGTTCAGGCAACACTGCCCATCCTAGCCTTGGGTCTGTGGTTCAATCTGGTGCATCAGGATCAAACTTTACGGGAGACCCGCTGACCCAGCCAAACAGGACTCCAATACCAGTCAGCGTGTCTCATCGTCTTCCAGTTTCTTCTTCCAAATCTACCAGCACCTTCAGTAACACACCTGGAACAGGAACTCAGCAACAGTTCTTCTGTCAGGTAATGCTTTTTTTTTTTTCTTCAAATAAATGTCTGACAGATTATAGAATGGAAGAATAGAATGCATACTCAAATATAATTTTTATCTTAGGCTCCCAATTTGTTAACTTAAAATGCTTGGTTTATGATCAATTGTGTTTTATCTTCATGATTAAAATATTTTATCCAGCATAACATTTTGGTTTAGAGTTTCTGGAGACAGACTCTGGCATCTGAATCTAGATTTTCTGATGTGGAGCCAGTTAATTAACTTTCTTCTTCAGTGAAATGGTCATATAATCACGTTACCATCCCATGGTGTTATTGGCAGGATTCAATGAGATAATCCCCACAAAGCATTTGCATAGTCTTGGCAGATAGCAAGTACTCAGCAGGGGCCAGTATTTATATTTGTATGTACTTGATGAAATGCATTATGGGCACTTAAGAAGAAAGATTATTTTAGATTATTTATATATATCACATAGCAGGCCACTCAGTCTTTGACAATGAACTAGGTGGAATGTTTTAGCTGCTTCTTGGATGCCAACCAGAAAGGCTCAGGGATTCAGTAGGACTCAACAGTGTCCCCACACTAGAGGGAAGCACTTAGAGGGAGAGAATCTGGGCATTCTCATTTGACCAGGTACCTGAGCCTGCTCTTACCATGCCATTGTGCAGGTAAATTACTATGGTAATTGGTGACACCACACAAGGATTAAGTTTCTTAAAAGGGACTGATCATCAGCTTCAGTCCTTCATTGTCATTAACTGACCCTTTTACTCCTCTGCTTTCGGTTCCCACTCATTTGGAGCATACTCTGTATTTCCAGCTCCTCTTCTTCCCAGCTAGGAGGCTCTTTTCTATACCCCACTTCTACCCTCCTCAGTTCTCCATTTCCACTGCCTTTCTCTTCCACATTCAGAAATTTCAAGAATTTTATATATAATGAATGGATATTATTCAGTAGTCAAAGAGAAATAAAATCATGGCATTTGCAGGTAAATGGATGGCATTGGAGAAGATAATGATAAGTGAAGTTAGCCAATCCCAATATTCCCAATAGTGCTGCTATAAACATTGATGTGGCTGTGTCGTGGTAATATGCTAGTTTTAAGTCCTTTGAGTATAGTGTGAGGAGAGGGATAGCTGGGTCAAATGGTGGTTCCATTCCCAGTTTCCAAGGAATCTCCATACTGCTTTCCATATTTGCTTCACCAATTTGCAGTCCCACCAGCAATGTATGAGTATGCCTTTTCCCCCACATCCTTGCCAACCTTATTATTATTTGTCTTCATAATAGCTGCCATTCTGACTGGAGTGAGATGGTATCTTAGAGTAGTTTTGATTTGCATTTTCCTAATTGCTAGAGATCATGATAATTTTTTCATATATTTCTTGATTGATTGTATATCCTCTTCTGAGAAGTGTCTGTTCAGGTCCTTGGCCCATTTATTAACTGGATTATTTGTGTTTTTTGGTGCTTAGCTTTTTGAGTTTTTTATATACCCTAGAGATTAGTGCTGTATCTGATGTGTGAGGGGTAAAAATTTGCTCCCAAGATGTAGGCTCTCTATTCACCTCACAGATTGTTTCTTTTGCTGAGAAGAAACTTTATACTTTGAGTCCATCCCATTTATTGATTCTTGGTTTTAATTCTTTGCTATAGGAGTCTTATTAAGGAAGTTGGGGCCTAATCCCACAGGATAAAGATTAGGGCCTACTTTTTCTTCTATTAGACGCAAAATCTCTGGTTTAATTCCTAGGTTCTTGATCCACTTTGAGTTGAGTTTTGTGCATGGTGAAAGATAGGGGTTTAATTTCATTTTGTTGCATATGGATTTCCAGTTTTCCTAGCACCATTTGTTGAAGGCTATCTTTTCTCCAATGCATGTTTTTGTCACCTTTATCTAATATAAGATAATTGTAATTTTGTGGGTTAGTCTCTGTGTCCTCTATTCCGTATCATCCATCTACCAGTCTGTTTTGGTGCCAATACCATGCTGTTTTTGTTACTGTTGCTCTGTAGTATAGTTTAAGGTCTGGTATAGTGATGCCACCGCTTCACTCTTCCTGCTATGGATTGGTTTAGCTATTCTGGGTCTCTTATTTTTCCAGATGAATTTCATGATTGCTTGTTAAGGTCTGTAGACAAGTCAAAATAACACCTGGCATTTTGCCAGGCACCATCCAGACTTGTTTACAAACTCTAACATTGCCCTGGCAAAATACCAGGTGTTATTTTGATTTGTCTACAGACCTTAACAATTGCTTTTTCTATTTCTATGGGGAATGCCATTGGGATTTTGATCAGAATTAAAAAGTTCCACCAGAAAACTTCTAGAACTAGTAAATGAATTCAGCAAAATAGCAGGATATAAAATCAACACCCATAAATCAAAGGCATTTCTGTATACAGTGAAAAATCCTCTGAGAGGGAAATGAGGAAAACTACCCCATTTGCAATAGCTAAAAAAAAAAAACAAAAAACTTAGGAATCAACTTAATGAAAGAGGTGAAAGATCTATACAATGAAAACTACAGAACCCTAAAGAAAGAAATCAAAGAAGACCTTAGAAGATGGAAAGATGTACCTTGCTTTTGGATAGGCACTATTCTACTCTAAGGAAGAGATTTTTCCTTCTCTTCCCTTTACATGTTTGTTTGTTTATATCAGTTGAGCACATAGATTCTTACTCATGGATTTTACTCAGTGAGTTATAAACTGTTGTAATCATTTATTTTGAGGCTCAAATCAACCCAAATTTGGCCAACGGGCACCCCTCCAAATTGGCTGCTGATCTTTCTGACATGTTTCTGTGGTGCTTTGAGCACTTACTTTGATTTCTGGCAAAACAAAATGTTCCCTGTTATCTGGGCATGGTGGTACTTGCCTGCAATCCCAACGACTTGGAAAGCTGAGGCAGGAGGATTGCAAATTTGAGACCAGCCTTAGCAACTTAGCAAGACCCTGTCTCAAAATAAAAAATAAAAAAAATAAAAAGATATTCCATATTCATCTTTTAAATTCTGTGACCCTTTCCTAGAATCAACAATTTCTATAAGGAGATTTACTCCTCCTTCTGGAGAATAATATTTAGAAAGCAAGTTCTGAGCACTCTGTAAGTTCAAAGCTACTGAGGTCATCTCAACTGGTAAATACGCTTATTTATACATATGCAATACTCAATATTCATATGTATTTATCAATGTATAATTATTAGCTATGAGTTTATGTTGATACTTCTAATTGTATCCTACAACTACTGGATTCACTCAAGCCTCTTTCTTTTCTGTACTCTTAGCTTCCTTTTCTAAAAGCAATAAAGAACAGGTCCACAATATATTTGTTTGCTCAATTCTAGAATTGTAGTAAGTAGTTTTAGAATTGTTATTTTTTTTAAAAAAATATATCTTTTATAACTTTATTTTATTTATTTATTTTGTATGTGGTGCTGAGAGTCAAACCCAGGGCCTCACACTTGCTAAGCAAGCATTCCTACCACTGAGCCACAACCCCAGCCCCTAGAATTGTTAATCCATGTTTTTCATCATTATGAATATAGATCTACTAATTAGACTTCAATATTGTTTCATAGTGCTGTCTTTAGCTTAAGAATTTATAGTGAAAATACTGTATTCAAAGTTATTTGGGTTCATTGTTTTGGAGTTTTTTTGTTTTGTTGGTTTTTTTTTTTTTTTTTTTTTGGTACTGGGAATTGAACCCAGGGCCTTGCACCATGTGCTAGGCAAAGTGCTGTACCACTGAGCTACATTTCCAGCATATTTTTTTTTCTCTCTTTTTTTTTTTTTGAGACAAAGTCTCACTAAGTTGCATAGGCTGACCTTGAATTTTCAATCTTCCTTCCTCAGCCTCTGGAATAATGGGTTTACAGGAGTGTCCCACCACACCTGGCTACTTAATTCCTTGGAACACATCAGCCATTAGCATGGCGGCACAGTTGGGGCTGCGCAGAACATAGACCTGGACTGAACTCCCTCCTCCCCTATGTTAGTTAGCTTTTTGCCTTTGGGAGAAAAGAGGAAGAAAGATTTATTTTGACTCAAAGTCTCTGACACCTGAGTCCATAATCAGCTGATTCTATTTGTAGTTTCTAGGCCTGAGGCAAGGCAGAAAAGATTCCAGTGAAAGAATTTGGCAGAGCAAAGCTGCTCAGCTCAGGGTAGCTGGGAAGCAGAAAGATGAAGGGGCTAGGAAGAAGAACTGTCCTTCTTCCTGGGCATACCCCCAGTAACCTACTTCCTCCACTAGACCCCATCTTTTATGGTTTACACCATCTCCCAATAAGGCCATCAGCTATGAGACCATGGAAATGATCTATGGATTAGTCCACTAATGAGGTCAGATCCCTCATGATTCAGTCACATCCCGAGACCGTCACCTCTGATTATTGCTGCTTTAGAGACCAAACTGTCAATTCATGAGTCTTTAGAGGGCATTTCAGACCTAAACCCTAACATCCACCATGCCTGCCTTCCCTGTCACTTTGCATCCTCCCCCGAAATCACTTTTCTTCCTGTTTTCACACACATAAGCAGATACATACAGATTTTTTATTTCCCCTTCTTTCTTTTTCAAAATGAAGCATAACATAGATGCTCTTAAATTGCAGAAAGTTTTCTAAAAATCCCGTATGTCCAATAATAAGGAAATGATTTGAAATGATAAAATACTATGTAGCCATTTAACAGGTTTCCAAATAAATTTGGGTACAGGTTTACAAATAATTTTTGGTGATAAATGCACATGTAATTGTAAAATATTTTTTAAATGGTTTACTCTTTTAGAAAAATGGTGAAGAAAGCCAGGTGTGGTGGTACACACTTTAATCCCAGAGAATGGGGAGACTGAGGCAGGAGGATGGCAAGTTTGAAGCTAGCTTGGGCAATTTAGTGAGACCCTATTTCAAAATAAAAAAGGCTGAGGATGTGGCTCAGTGGAATAGTGCCTCTGGGCTCAATCCCTAGTTCCACAAAAAGCAAATAAGAAAATTAATGA